CCCCAAAACCCCAAAACCCCAAAACCCCAAAACCCCATTCCATTTCTCCACTACTGAAGTGGCCTTAATTTACCGCATAAAATTCCACCTCAGAAGTCTTCCTTCGCTAAGGGCGTGTGCTCGCCTTGGAGGCTGGCTTTGGTCACTGAGTTCTGTGGGTGGCCCATTGGATTCTGGCAGAAGGAGGGAGGAGGACTCTTTGGGTTTGTAGAAGGGGTTGGGGGTTAGGAAGAGACAGGCTTTGGAGATTGATGAGTGTATATGATAGCCATACATCAGCATGAAGAGGTACTCTTTAAATTTGATGTTGTAGATACTGTAGAAGATATAAAACAAAAACGCTAATTGCTCAACAATAGAAATCAAACAATGGACGCTTCAGAATATGTATGTAAACACTCCTTTGTACAGGTTCTCTTTTTTCACTCTTGAAAAATAAATAAAGCTCGCCAGGATTATTACAAAATCAAGAGCTATATAAATAATCGACGATAGGAACAACAGTTTCAGCTTTTTCTTGTTCTGAACGTAATATCTATGAAGGTTGTTCTTAAGCGAGCTCATTAGCTTGCAGTAGATTACTGTCTTGGTAAAAATAAGGATTCCGTTGATAAAGAGATTGATGTAGTACATGACTCTTTGGATAATTGACTGCACATAACAAAAGCCATGTTCATCTTGAACCCTGAATCTTTTACATTGCTGCACGAACTCAGAGTAAAACATAAAGGCTATAACTAGGCACAAAAGTAGGTAAATTCCAGCTAGGAAGATGACCTCCCATATCTGGATTCTTCTGATCTTCTGTCTGACTTCATCATAGACAGCCCCCATTCTCATCTGTTTATAGTACTTCACATGAATGATTAAGTTGAACCAATAGAGCTGATTGATTATGATAAATCCAAAATAGTTCGGATTAAAATTTATCAGATAATCCACTGAGTAGTACATTCTCTGGAGAGCAATTGAAGTCAAGAGAGAAAGAAGCTGTACAAGGGTCAACAGCATCGAGAAAATACATTGAGTTATAATCAAAGTATCTCAATATTCATCTTCAAGCTCATTTAACAAGCGTCTAAACCAATGATCGTAGGCTTACATTAGCATCATGAAAAAGCACAAGCACTGAAGCATCAGAAGGGTGAATACTCGGACATTCTCAATCAAAATTGTTGCCCCAGATGCGAACGGATAATCTTTGCCAGTCTCTGCTAGATCTTGTTCAAAATACTCCATTTTTATTATATTTGATCAATATCATTCAGATTCATGGGGTTTTGGGGTTTTGGGGTTTTGGGGTTTTGGGG